CCATGTGGGGGGGGGGGTGGCATGACCCTGGGGGGGGAGCACGGCCAAGCAGCCCCCCTCAGGCTCCAGGGGCTTCGATCCCTGCAGAAATTAGGAGATGGGGTGCACAGCAGGCAGGGCTCCCCTCTGTTCTGTCCCCCCTCCCCTGGCACCCCCTCACCCCTGCCCCTTGCCTTCCCCAGAACAGGAAGGATAATGGGCAGCACATGTGGCGCCTAAAGCACTTCAACCGGCCGGTCTACTGCAACGTGTGCGAGGCACTGCTACTCGGGCTGCGGAAGCAGGGGCTCTGCTGCACCTGTGAGTCCGCAGTGTGGCATGGCAGGGAGGGGAGCCCCTGCCGCACAGCTCCAATGGGGGGGGATCGGCCCCCCAGCCAGTGGCAGGTGGCACCACGTCGCCTGACCAAGGTCAGAGCGGAGGGTGGGGCTGGAGGGTGCCAAAGCCCTGCCCTCCCATGACATGCGTGTCGCCCCCTACTGCCTGCAGTCTGCAAGTACACAGTGCACGAGCGCTGCGCCCGCCGCGCCCCGCCCAACTGCATCAGCACCTACGCCAAGTCCCGCCGCGAGGCCAGCGTGAGTCCGGGCGGCCCCTCCAGCACAGGGCAGGGGACTGGGAGGGAACCCAAGCGTCCAGGCTCCCAGCCCCCCTGCTCTACCCTGCCCGAGCCCAGCCCCCTCTCCCAGAGTTGGGGGGTGAACCCAGGCATCTGGCTTACACCCCCAGGTGCAGCTACACGTATGGGTGAAGGGCGGCTGTGAGGCCAGCAAGTGCGACCGGTGCCAAAAGAAGATCAAGAGTTTCCAGAGCCTGACAGGGCTGCACTGCGTCTGCTGCCACCTCAAGGTGTGGGGGCTGGGCTGGGCTGGGCTGGGCTGGGCCAGGGGGCGGGGGGCAAGGGCAGTTCTGAACACATTGCCTCCGCAGGTGCATGAAGAGTGCGCGTCCAACTTGCCCCAGGCCTGCGATTGCGGGGCCCTGCGTGATCATGTGCTGCCCCCAGCAGCCATCTACCCTGGCGTCCTGGTGAGTGCAGGCACACTGCCCTGGGCAGGGCAGGGCAGGGGGGCTCCACAGACCGGGCACATCCCAGGGATGCAGGGGGTAGGAACCCCAAGCTGGCCGTGGAACTTGCCCCGGGATCTTCTGGGATCCAGCCCCCAGATGTGCCCGCATACATGAGTGACCGGGGCTCTGTCTCTGCAGGAGCGACAGAATAGCCAGAAGAGTGGCGGGGGGACGCCCATGGAGGAGGGGGCACCCCCCATCACCCCTCCTGAGGGACAGGCGCTGCGGGTGAGTGTGTCAGGGGGCAGAGCCAGCGTCTGCGGGTGCCTTGGTGACTCCAGGGAGTGTGGACATGGGGTGGGGGTGGTGGCAGCTCCATCTGATGTCAGGCCTGGCCCATGGGAAAGCATGCACTTGCACGTGCATGCTCATCCTTTGCACATACATGTGCACACAGGTGGGTCCATGGCACTGAGCGGGGTAGGGGTGTGGGTGCCCCCTCGTGACTCCCCTCCCCGCCGTACAGGACGTGCCAGTGCCCGACACCCACCCACTCCTGGTCTTCGTCAACCCCAAGAGTGGTGGGAAACAAGGCGAGAGGTGAGGGGCAGGGGGCTGCGGGGCCCTGGACTCCTGGGTTCCTGGCTGGGAGTCCTGGGTGGTGGGTCCATGGGAGGGGGAGAATGGGGGAGTGTTGGAAACCAGGACACTTGCCCCTTGACACTCCCCACCCACTTGACGTGCCCCTGTCTCCTGTCCCAGGGTGCTGCGCAAGTTCCAGTATCTGCTCAACCCGCGGCAGGTCTACAACCTCCTGAAGGGCGGCCCAGCCCCCGGGTGAGTGCAGCCCTCCAGGCACAGCACAAGGGGCAGAAGGGAGCTGGGGGCCTGGCACCGGGATAGATGGGGGCTGCGGGTCCAGGGTGAGGAGCACTGGTAAGGCTGGGGGGACGGGGCTGTGGGTCGGGAGTGAAGGGCATCAGACAGACTGGGGGGTAGCCCCCAGCTCCTGCAGGCCCCACCCTGGCCCTGACCGGCACCCGCTTGCTGCAGGCTGAATTTCTTCCGGGATGTGCCTGATTTCCGGATCCTGGTGTGTGGCGGCGATGGCACCGTGGGCTGGATCCTGGATGCCATCGGTGGGCATGCAGTGGTGGGAGTGGGAGGCTGCCAGGTTGTCATGGGAGGGTGACAGCCCCTGGAGCACATGCCGGGGGCTGTGGGGGGTAGGAGGAGTGGGACAGGGCCCGTGTGTGTCTGCATGCGTGCATCCCGGACACCTGGGTTCCAGTGGGGCTGGTGTCCATGTGTTCTGGACACCTGGGTTCCATGGTGACTCTGCACATGTGTGTGCAGGCATGTATGTCCCGGACTCATGGGTTCCGTGAGTGTGCATCCATGTGTCTGGGATGCCCCAGTTCCCTGTCCCTGGGCCCAGTCCCAGGCCTTTACCGAGTCCGTGCTGCCCCCTGGTGGCAGTGGGTAGCGTTGCGCACTGCAGTGAGCCTGGCCAGCCTGGGAGCAGGGCAGGGACGGGATAGAGCCCTGGCCCTGCTTGCACTGAAACCCCCCCCCCCCAAATGACTCCCCGCTTTGCAGACAAGGCCAACCTGCCGCGCCGGCCGCCCGTGGCTGTGCTTCCGCTGGGCACTGGCAATGACCTGGCACGGTGCCTGCGCTGGGGAGGAGGTGAGTGACCCCAGTCCCGTGGGGCCCTCGGAGCTGGGCTGTGCCCCAGCCCAGCAGCCCAGTGTGCTCCAGACCCTCTGCATTGCACATGCATGTGCAAGTCCAGCAGGCTCTGTTTCCTCTCCACGGCCCCTGGGGTCAAAGCCTGCGGCTGACCCCGCTGGACCCCTAGGCCCCCCGGGCTGAGGCAGCCTGGCAGGGCCCCGAGATCCCACTGCCCCCCCAGGGTACGACGGGGAGAGTCTGCTGCGAGTGCTGCGGGATGTGGAGAGCAGCAGCGTGGTGCAGATGGACCGCTGGCTGGTGCAGGTGACGCCTGACAACCCGGCTGAGAAGGGCGACCCGGTGCCCTACGAGATCATCAACAACTACTTCTCCATTGGCGTGGTATGGGGAAGTGGGGGCGGAGGGGGGGGCCTTGGGCCGGTCCCAGCCCCCCCAGCCCTGACACTGCCTTGTCCCCAGGACGCCTCCATCGCCCACCGCTTCCACGTCATGCGGGAGAAGTACCCCGAGAAGTTCAACAGCAGGTGGGCATGGGGGGTGGGGAAGCAGCTGGGACTCCTGCCTCCCCCTCCAGATTTAACCCCCCACTCCTGGCAGGATGAAGAACAAACTCTGGTACTTTGAGTTCGCCACGTCCGAGACCATCTTTGCCACCTGCAAGAAGCTGAAGGAGTGTCTGAGCATCGAGGTGAGGGCACCCTGCACCTGGCCCCCGCCCCTCTGACAGGGCAGGACCATCTGGGAGCTGCCCCAGACGAGCTGGCCCCGGGGTTGGGGGGATCCGTCCCTGCCCCCCCGCTCATGCCGCCCCCCTCCCCCCTCAGTGCTGCGGGACCCCCCTGGAGCTGAGCAGCGCGCTGTCGGGGATCGCCGTGCTCAACATTCCCAGCATGCACGGCGGCTCCAACCTCTGGGGTGAGACCAAGAAGCCGCTGGGTGAAGCGCGGCACCCGCCCAGCGCGGCACAGCCCCAGGCCGTCACCGACCCCGAGGCCCTCAAGACCTGTGTGCAAGGTGGGGCGGGGCAGGGGGCGGGGCCCCTGACAGGCAGGGCTTGGAGGTGGGCGAGGTCGAAGGGCGGGGCCTCTAGCAGGGGTGGGGCCTGGATGGGCATGACTGCAGGGTGCGGCTGCTGGCAGAGGGTGGGGCCTGGAGATGGGTGGGACCTCTAGAGGCGGGGCTTGGATGAGAGTGGCTGCAGGGTGGAGCTTCTGGTAGGGGGCGGGGCCTGAGTGGGTGGGACTGTATGGGTGCAGCAGCCTGTTGTGGGGGCCAGTGTAGTTGGCAGGGGGCAGGTTGGGGGGGCCTGGCCCAAGGCAGTGGGTGATGCCTCCCCCCAGCCGCATTCTGCACAGCACCGAGCACCCCCTCCCTGCCTCACAGACCTGAGCGACAAGCGGCTGGAGGTGGTAGGGCTGGAGGGCGCCTTGGAGATGGGGCAGATCTACACGGGTCTGAAGAGTGCCGGCGCCCGCCTGGCCAAGTGCTCCGAGATCACGCTGAGGTGAGCCGGGGAGTGGGGCAAGGCTGGGCCTGGCACGGGGGCGGGGGGAAGGGTTGCTGCCACTACTTGACCTGGCATCTCCGCAGGACGTTGAAGCCGCTGCCCATGCAGATCGACGGGGAGCCCTGGATGCAGCCGCCCTGCACGGTAGGTGCCCCCTTGTGGGGGGTGCATCTCCCTCCCGGGCAGGGCCATGGGTCATGCCCTCCCCCCAGGTCCACTGCCAACATGGCTCATGGCCCTTGCAGATCCGGATCACGCACAAGAACCAGACGCCGATGCTCATGGCCCCCCCGCTGCGCTCCTCCAGCTTCTTCGGCCTCAAGAAGGGCCCCCCTGAGCCCTGAGGGGACCCCCCTTGCAGCTCGGCACCCCGGGGACCCCGCTTCCATCTGCTACGTTGCCTGGGGGTCTCCTGCACTCGGGCCCAGCCCAGCTGCTCATATCAGCCTCGAGGGGGGACACCTGACACGTCTCCTGCCCACTGGGCCTCCCCTGCTTGCTGGATCCACAATCTCATGGTGGCATCGATCCCCGGGCTGGGGAAGAGGGCATCCTGGCCTGTGATGCCCCTGGGATGGGGGTGTGGGGCAGGGCCCCCCGATCCCCCCCACCCGACCCAGCTCCCTGCCCCGGCTGCTGGCTCCCAGGGCCCCCCCCCCACCCAGCATCGCCCTATTTATTGCACCTCCCCCCGTCCTCCAAGTGCCTCATCCAGTAATAAAGGTTGCATTGGTTTGGTTCCCGTGGTCTCTGGCTTCATGGGGGGTAGACAGGGTAGGGGCGGGGGCCCCCTGGGCTTGGGCCAGATGCCTGGGTTCCAGGCTCGGCTCTGGGAGGGGAGTGCAGGACTGGCCGCCAGGATCATGTGCACACAGGGTGCCCAGACACCTGGGTTCGCTCTTCACTTGGCAGGTAACCCCCTCCCCTATGGGAGCCCACACATGGGTGTTCCAGGAGGGTGTGGGCAGGGCAAGGGCCTCCCTGACCCCATCTTTCCCCCACCCCAGACAGAGTCAAGCGGAGGCAGGTGGAGTCTGAGCATTTAATAGCTGGGACCAAGGGGGTGTTGGGGGGGACACAGAGGAAGAGTGGCAATGGGAGACCTGGTGCCAGGCATCCTGGGGGGGGGTCCCGTCCCCCCCCACCTGGCAGCAGGTCCCGGGGCTGCCGCTGGCTCTAGACAACATTGCCGCTGAGCAGAGGACTGCTCTCACTGTGGGGACCAGTGCCCAGGGCCCGGCGCAGCAGCAGGCGCAGGGCAGCACGGTCAGGCAGGCGCAGCTGGGCACCAGGGTCGAACCGCACGTTGCGTCTGGGGCAGAAGGAGGCTGTGTTAGCATCCCCCAGCCATGGCTGGGAGAGGAGGGGGCAGGGAGGATTAGACTCACCTGTAGGCGAGGCCCACAACGCCCAGGGCCACGGCCACCAGCACCAGCCCCACGAGCAGTGTGACCCGGGTCCCGGCAGCGTCTGCACCTCCGACGGTGACGCGGGTGCTGGCCATGGCCAGGCCGCTGGGGTTGGCGAGCGAGACGTTGAGACAGTACTGGCCGGACTGGTTGAAGGCCTGGTGCAGCACCAGCTGGCAGGCGGGGGCAGCTGGCACCGGGCTGCACACGGTCTGCTGTGGCGCCAGGCATGCCGCGTCCATCACCACTGTACACACCTCATCGGGCAGGCTGCAGGCACAGGGGAAGCTCAGGGGGGCATCAGGGGAGGGTGTGGGGTTACCCCCCAGCCCTGGCCCCGGCCCTACCTGCCCTGGCATGTCACAGTGAGCTCCACTGCACTCTCGCCGGCCGCCGGCACCACCTGGACAATCTCCACGCTCTCAATGCCCTCTGCAAGGGAATGGGGTCAGCCCCTACGGGGGACACCCCCACCCCCAATCCCGACTACCACGGCACCCCAGGGAAAGCAGGCAGTGGGGTGTAGGAGTGTCCCAGCAGAAGGGGATGGGGTGCCCCCGTTGCCCCCCACGCCCTCCCTGCGGTGCTGGGACTCACGGACAATGTCGAGCTGGGTGGAGAAGGTGCCGTAGCGGTAGAGGACGCAGCCATTGGGCGGTGCCTGCCTCTTGGCTAGCACCAGGGCAGGAGCGGCACTGGGGACTGCAGTGCTGGCGGTCACCTCTGTGGAGCAAGTAGAGAGAGAAGGGGAGACCCGCCAGCCCCCACAGGGCAGGGGGACCTCAGGGCAGCAGAGCTCCTGGGGGATGGAGCTTGGAGCTGACGTGGATGCATTTGGGGCCCCAGGGGAGCTCCCACCCTCACCTGCCACCTACCTGCTGTCCCGGAGCTGGTGCTGGCCACGCTGGCAGGGAGGCTGGGCCCAGCAGAGCCTGTGGTGGGAGGCAGGTCTGCAGCAGGGGAGGTGGAAGCTGGGAGCAGGGGGTCCACGGATGCCACGGCCAGGTCCGGCCCGGGGGCGGCAGCCATGCTGGGTACCCCTGAAGCCGTGGCAGCTGCAGGGAGCGTGGTCCCGGCATCAGGGTCAGCCAGCCCTGCCGTGGCCAGTGGCTCTGTGGCCAGCTCCTCGGATGCTGGGGCCACCGTGGCTGGGTCACCAGATGCTGGGGCCGCTGTGGCCGGGTCGCCAGATGCTGGGGCTGCCGTGGCCGGGTCATCAGATGCTGGGGACGCCGTGGCCGGGTTGTCAGATGCTGGGGATGGGGTGGCCGGGGACCCTGTGGCCCCGGATGCTGGGGACCCTGTGGCCTCAGCCGTGGGTGCTGGGGGCAGAGAGAGGCAAAGCTAGAGTGAGGCTGGGCTGGCGCCAGGGCTCTGTACCTCCTCCCTGGGGATGCCCCCCTGGACTTACCGCTGCTTGGTGGCTGCACCGTGGCCTGCCCGGGGCTCCCACCGGTTGCTATTGTGGCTGCTGCTGTGGCCCTGGTGGGCTGCACCGGGGGGCCCGTGGCTGTGGCTGGGGCCGGGGAGGTGCCCCCGCGGCCCAGGGGGATGGCGGCCTGCAGCACGACACGGGGAGTGAAGGAGCCGGTGGCCAGGTAGGTATGGGTGACCTGGGCAGCACGGGAGATGAGGGTACCACTGCCATCCCCGAAGTCCCAGGAGCAGGCGACATCGGCGCCCGTCAGGTACCCACTGGGGTCATGCAGCCGGACCGTGAAGGACACGGCCCGGTTCCTCACGAAGCGCTCGGCCACCCCCGGCTCTGCACCCGCCACGGCCACCGTCTCCACCCGTGCCACGTCCACTGAG